TCAGAAGGGTTCATGATTTAACCAAACTTGAAGCAACACAGTGGGATGCTTCAATGGTTGGTTGATACAATGACCTTGTCAGCAAATACAATTTATCATTAAATCAAATGCTGACTGACGTTTTTCATACTAATTGTTAGGCCATTATTTACACATTGAATTATCAACGGATTTTCCATTATTTCCCGATCATGACAAGGAGCACAGGGCGGTAGGGGGATGGCACCTGATCCTACCTCTGATGTTTTAGAGGTCCGTGTTTACTCTGCTCCAAAATTTGTATTGTTTTATGGACTTTTGAGCTTGAATACTGTTCATTATCTCCATATATTTCATTCAATATCACTAGGACTAACATTGCCCTGTTGTTCTCCATGGAAATGATTTTCTAAACATTTTTTTTCCCTGTATACATGCATTATGTAAAATTGGATATCAAATTCTAATCCAACCCTATAGGCCCAGAGTCAATGATTTTAAAAAAAGAAAAGGTCCACACAACTAAGGATTTTTTCATATAAAAATGAATAAGTATGGCACTTTTACTCTTGAAGTGATTTGTTCCTACATATTCCCTGGTAGAAATCTGAGATCCTGTTGTACACCCCCCCCCCTTCCCTCCATTATAACATTTGTTTCCTATACAATAGCTCCTTCCTATCTCTGTGGGCCATTATCCACCGTGTATAACCCCACATATGGGGGTCAGAACGGTGAGCTTTGGGAGTGCGGATTTCGAAGCGTAATTTGCTACAAAAATTGACCTAATTACGGTAGCTTTTCTACAGCGATTGAGATGGAATTTGTTCTTTGTTAATGTACCACGGAACACAGTGAATTCTCCGCTTACTGATACCAGTATCCCACTTCACAATTCCTTCTAGAAGTACATGAACACTTCAACATTATCTGGCTATGACACGCGGGGTTGCAGATTTGATCGGTCTTGGTGAAAATTCTTGCTTCATTTATCATTCTACATCATTTCAGTTGTATGAGGAGTTTCTTTGCATAATTTTGCAGAAGATACTCTAATAATATCTGGACTTTCACCCCAAATAAAAGGTGGAAACTTCAATATTAGTGTGTGCCATCCGGGGGTAAACTTTTAGTGGAGCTGGGGGGAAATGAATCATTTTTCATTCAAGGTAAATAATTCTACCTTGTTTGTAGGTGTCTGCTGTGTTTTGAATGCATATGTAAAAGAAATTAATTCAAATGAGACTAATACCACAGGTACTTCTGGACAGGAACCCCCCCCCCCCCCCCCCCGAATATACCTTCTGGGTCAAATAATATTTTAAAGTCTTTTTTCATAAACTTTTCTTCTAGTACACATTTACAATGTATTCCATATGAAAAATCCAAAAAATAACACAGAATTAATGTTTTACTAAAAAATCATACCCGCGGTATTATAAAATAGAGAAGGTTAAAGTCACTTCCATTTGTTAACACTGGACCCCTCTTGGATATCGGGCCTAAAATATCATATACCTACTACATGTCACCAAAATGTGTCATTATATTTTGTTTCGGTAGATAATTTTGCTATTTAATTGCCCATTGCTGAGGCATTCCACAATAATCCGAGTATTCATCGGCAAACGTGAAAAACGCTACAAAAAGTAGAAATTACGAAGTGATGCAAAAACGACACCTAGCGTGTAACTCTCGAGTTCCGAGTGTTATAGAATTGAGGGGAAAGCCAGAGGTCTACGAAAAAGTTCGGGAAAATTTTGATAAAGAAGTCGAAATTGATTCATTAGAATTTAATTCTGCTTAAGCACCTTTAAGCTATCTATAAGTAATATACACACCATCATTTACTATTAAGCCATCTCAAAGTCCTTTTCAAAAGGTAATTAAACTATCTTCGAATAAGTAGCATGTTCATGCATTTCCTTCTGTCACTTACAAAATAAAACATAAATTTAAAGTATTTTGAGTAAATATAGCAAATTCGAACCAAAATTATGTATTCTAAAGACACTACACAACAAAATGTGCATTTCACGAGCTTTCTTTACAGAAAAAAAATATATACCCGGGTTCCTACAAAACTGTAGACCTACGAAATTTTGGGACAACACTCGTTTATATCTTTTATTTACAGATAATCAAACTCCTTTTTTGTATATAGAACATACATATTTCTTAACATAACCATAGAATTCAGATTTAAGTTGATGTGGGAAAAAGGGTACAATGATTCTCTCTTTTGAAGCTCCAGCTTGGGTAAATATTTTCCTAATTACATCCACTAAATATTATCTCTTTTATTTCTAATAAAAACCATGGTTGTTCATCTGTCAATAAACACCGATAAGCAAACCACCGATATCGGTTTCTTGAGCAACGACTCTTTTGTCAATCAAACACACAATGATACACATTCCAATAATATAATTTTTGATGTATAATATTAATATTTTATCCTTCTTTATATGATTATTTATACAGATATAAATACATGTATAAACAATAAAATGTCTTTCTTTGTTAGTACGGAATGCCATAACCCACGGGTTATGTATTTTTTTCTGCAACAGCTGCAACATTAATTCCCGTTCGTTTTAACAACCAATAGAAAGCATTTTATTAGTTAAGCTAACTTTAACTCATCATCCCGACCCCCCTTGTAAAAAATATGCCTACGGAATTATGGGACAACCCTTGTATTTGTATACAATATATTTACATGTAATTTATATTTACAGGTGCAATGTAGGAAATATGTTCTGTTATGTCAAATTTTATATCCAGAAGTACCTGGGGAAAAAAACTCAGGAGAGGGTAGAAGAGTCAAATACCAGTCGCTAGCCTATAGTTAAGCGTAGAAAACCGCTCTAGTATAAATGAATATGAGTCAAAGGGAACTAATTTAGGGAAGAAATGAAGAGAAAAAGTTGTTGAAACCATTGAATCAATTTATTCTTTGTAATCAATATATGTATTGTACAAATAATTCAATATTTATTGAAATTTTATAAATCGGAGATAATGATTCCTTTCCCCCCAGCTCCACTAAAAGTTTACCCCCGGATGGCACACACTAATATTGAAGTTTCCACCTTTTATTTGGGGTGAAAGTCCAGATATTATTAGAGTATCTTCTGCAAAATTATGCAAAGAAACTCCTCATACAACTGAAATGATGTAGAATGATAAATGAAGCAAGAATTTTCACCAAGACCGATCAAATCTGCAACCCCGCGTGTCATAGCCAGATAATGTTGAAGTGTTCATGTACACGTACTTCTAGAAGGAATTGTGAAGTGGGATACTGGTATCAGTAAGCGGAGAATTCACTGTGTTCCGTGGTACATTAGCAAAGAACAAATTCCATCTCAATCGCTGTGGAAAAGCTAATTAGGTTAATTTTTGTAGCAAATTACGCTTTGAAATCCGCACCCCCAAAGGTCACCGTTCCGTACCCCCATATGTGGGGTTATACATGGTGTTATCTGAATAAACTTAAATCTACCTGAGAATGCTTCGATATTAATATGACTTAATCATGACTCTGCTCTTCTTGAGAAGCAGATTTTTAAATTATTTTCCCCATATACAATTCAGTGTAAAACTTGATCTCCTATTGTGGCCCCATTAGGTCATGATTTAAAAAAAAAAATTAAATATGCTTTGTCAGGCAGGTTTCATAATAGTTTCATCTTTTCTGGCAAAGTTGAAGGGGAAGATTTTCAAAGCTCAACTAACACTTTAAATAATTGTATTTTTTAAATGGATGGGGATGCTTTGACACACATTCAATAACAAATAAAATAAAGTTAATGAGATTAAACTTTATTTCCAACTTTTTATTTCTAATTTAAAATCATCTCAAAATCCCAACACAGGTAAAGTTTGACTTCTTGGGTACTCTACTGTGTATTAAATCACTTCCTGTGTATAGGGATTTGGAGACAAATGACCACAGGTAGACTGCTAGCCCTCAAGGCATTCACACCTGTACAGATCAATAAACCCCTCCCTCACCTGGAATTTACCACCCGGTAAAAAATCTGTATGAACATGCATGCATGATTATTTAAAACACTGACTCATAGGAATTTTCACAACAGATATGTTTTCCAAATCACACGTTTATGTGGCATGTACAAGCATGACAACTGAACATAAATGTGTGGTATACAGGTAATAATTCATTCACATCTGTGAGAACGTCACATGACTATCAGGTAGACTGACACAGTATTGTCTGGGTTGACCTTGGAATGAAACAGTAAAACTCATCTTTTTTTCCAACTTTATTAATACTTTTATAATCATATCTCACATTACAAAAGATATGGTAAAACAATAAACAATGCACAGTTTGGTCTTGTTAGAATATAAGAAGGTTTTTGTTTTGAACTTGTTAAACAGTTTATCTTTTGTTTTAATCCATGTCTCAAAACATTTGGAACTTATCATCATATGCATAGCGCATAACTTTTGGGGTTTGCAAAATGACAGAAATAAATGATCTCATTTCACATGCAAAACAACTAAGGAAAAGGTGAAATATGAATAAAGATATATTCATAATGTTATATCAGAATTTGTTGAAAAATTAGTAATTATTAATTATAAAAAGATATTTCAATGTTTGAAACAGTTAATTTACACAAAATTCGAACAGAAAAGTAAGAGCTGTGCATAGACATAGGGCCTAAATTACAATTTAAGCGTTATAGAATAGAATTTATTTGCCAATCATGGTCCCACTGGGAGCATAACATTATAAGACTTAACTGTCCCAAAAATAGCAGACAGGGGTGAAATACCTACAAGACTAGTAATTCACACCTACAAGATCTCGTGTTTAAAATTGCATAATGAAAATTTCCTGCTTTATTTCCAAGAAAAGCTTACTTTCAGTCCTGTTTACGTAAAGCACGAACGTATTTCTAACTGTCTAAAGCAAAAGTAGATTACACGACCTACAGAAATGTATTACTTGTCGATATTAGCTAGATTAGTGAATGGTAGCTTACCAGACCCCCACCAATAACAGCAACATGTGGTTTCTTCTCTGTCATCTTGCAACAGGTCCCACAGACACAGCACTATATACCGACACAGTATTTGGGGATGACCTTCACCTTGATCCTTTTTGATTTCATTCGTGGAATGATGTACACACCCCTCTATACAAATATCTACAGGCGGGTGATTTGAATTTTTCGGTAGGATACTGAATCTGTTCCTGGCGGACTTCATTAAGATTATATACAAGTTAGGTTACAGTCTGTATTATTTAAAGTTGATCAATTACTGAATTAGTAGTTCAATAAGACTTTACTACAAGTTTGGCTCTGTATGTCACAAAGAAGCGGATTCGGGAGAAGAGGAATATAGGCTAGTCAGTAGTCATGTACAGAGACGACTGTAGGTGAGTTGACCATGCATTGGACACATAGGCCTACCTTGCTACGGACAACTTTGGACAATAAACTTTCATTAAACCTGAGTGTCCACGTGTACGCGTGTTTTTAAAGCTGAAGACTTAAACTTTTAAATGATGCTGATTTTCATTATCCATGTTGTGATCACAGGGACTTGAGACAATCTTAGCAAAATCGGGTATATAGTATAATTTATATTATATACCCGATTTTGCTAAGATTGTCTCAAGTCCCTATGGTTGTGATAGTACTAAAAATACCACGAGAACGGGTTTGAAGTTACATCATATTTGACGTCATCACAAGGGAGTAATTAGAATTTTACGATTTTGCAAATTTTTAGAGTTGTCTTTCTTTTATTAGACTTCAAGGGCACGAGTCGGTCCCACAGGTGCTTAGGGACGGGAACCCCCCTCCCGTGTTCCGTACCCCCAAGGGTTCTTTGACTTTTTTTAAATAAAATATTTTTCTATGACACATTCACAAAGTATTACAACTGAAAAATCAAAAATATAACCTAAAACTAGACTTTTATAAAAACTCCATACTCTCTGATACCAAAAGTTCTTAATTAATGTGTCATAGAACCCAACTGACACCTGTTTTCTGCGGAAATAGAAAATAAAATTCTAAATATTCAGTAAAATACAAGTTTTCGATAGGCTAGAAGTGGACTCTATTTATTTCTACAAACTAGAAGATGATAAGCCACGAGATAAAGGCGCGAGTTACCGTATTACTTGAATTGTAAAGCCTTTCTTAGGCGATGTGATGCAACTAAAATCTCTCCACATTTGTGGATCGATATAGTCAGTCAAATTAAACTAGAGAGTTTATTTTTAAAATAAAAGATAAAAATATTTTCATTCCACTAATTTAACAGCAACAATTAAGATAAAGGTATGAAATTTTTCCAGTTCAAATACCGTTTGACAAACAAGTTGATGAAACCAGAATTATCAATATTAGCAGTCTCGTTTGAAGTCAACATTTCGCAACTTGCGGCCGATGTGACCGTCGATAGGGGATGCTTACTCCTCCATGGCACCTGATCCCACCTCAAATGCTCCTAGAGGTTCGTGTTTGCTCTGCTTCCGATTTGTATTGTTTCAATGGACTTTTGAGCTAGAATACTGTTCGTTATCTCCATATTTTATTTTAAAAATCTGTTTTTAGAACATGAAGGTTTGTTTTATTTTCAGATTTATTGTACATCAATGACTTTAATATTTAACTACGGAAAGTGACCCTATAGTGTTACAAAATGTATATTAAAACACCATACTAATACACAGACAAAACTGCTAATGTAGCACCACAGAAAATTGGTATTTTACTTTTCAAATTTGTTTATGATGTATTTGATATGTAAATATGCAAAACAAAGTAAGCAAGATGTGTTTGTGAAACACTGATGCCCCCGTATGGCAGCATATGGCGAAGTTTAAAGTTTCTCCATTGCAAGTCAAACTTCAAGGTCAAGAGAGATCAAAAATGTTGTTACCCAAAGAAAGGTCTTGGGGTCAATGGATTCACCTGGTAAATATGAAAGCCCAAGCACCAACCATTCAACAGTTATGGTCAAGATTAATCATTTAATGTTTTCTAAAAGTGAGTCACTCTAACTCAAGGTCAAGGTCAAAGGGTCATAATTAATGGAATGAAGTGGAAGACCTTGTCATAAGAAATACACATGTAAAATATAAAAGCACTAGAACCAACTGTTCAAAAGTTATAGCCAAGGTTAACTTTGTTCAAAAGTAGGTCAAACTCCAGGGTCAAGGTCAAAAGATCAAAATTGTTGGGATCCAAAGGAAGGTCTTGTCACAAGAAATATAGCTGTGAAATTTGAAAGCCCTAGTACTAACTGTTCAAAAGTTATGGCTAAGGTTAAAGGTTTTTAAAAGTGGATCAAACTCTAAGGTCAAGGTCAAAAGGTCAAAAATATTTATACCCATGGAAAGGTTTGGTCGCGATGAATACTCATATGAAATATGAAAGCCTTAACACCAACTGTTCAAAAATTATGGCCAAGGTTAAAGTTGAGTAATTTTTTGCAAAAGTGGGTCAAGCTCCAGGGTCAAGGGCAAGAGGTCGAATATGTTTGTACCCAAAGGAAGGTCTTTTCACAAGGAATATACATGTGAAATGTGAAAGCCATAGTTCAAACAAAACAAAAGTTATGGGCAACGTTAAAGTTTTTGAGGACAAACAGGCAAACAGACAGACAGACGGATGGACAGGGCAAAAACGTTGCTCGTGGTTTGTGAATTAATTTTGGAATCGTGCGTCTGATAAAAGTCGTTTGAAGCATAAATCCGACACTGTATTTAATTTTCTTTTAGTTACCAAGTTATCCATCTCAAATATTAGCGTTTCCAGAAGATCGCAGAATTAATTCTTTTAAACGGAGGTCACCACGTGCTTTTATGACGTCCAGCTTCTGATTTTGCAGTTTGTTGGTCTTTCAAACGCTTCTTCCATCGAAGAGCCAGTCAAACCATCCCCGAACCTCTTGAACTAGGTATAAATCTTGTGTCCGAGATATATGTTTGTGTCGTTCCATCGTTTACATCTCATTTCCCGTATGGATAGGAGTCATATCCCGCTCAACAATACTGCGTTTTGTCAAAATAGCAAAAATTTCATTTCCCAACAAGGGGTAAAAATTTATTTATTAACAATATTTTCGTCGAATAGTTTTTGAAATATTAAAAAAGTTCGCGTTTTTCTGGGACAACCCTCGTAGATACCCGAGATGGCGGTCACTAACCTTGGTATGCTCTATTGTGTCCTTGTGGCAGGCTTTTGACTGACATGCAGGTGAAGATACTCGGGGAATTCGTGTGTAATACGCGCGCGCTCGCACAAACAAACACACACACACACACATTCTATATACATATACTTCCAAATAAAGGAATACTGAAAACTTTCATTATTTTTCAAAGACCTTATTTCCAAAAAACCAGGTCAAAAATGTTTTCAAGACAAACACTTTCGTTAGACTTTATAATACCCCCCCCCCCCCGGAAAAAATCCTCTTTCGATATGTTCAAATTCATTTATGATTTTCGATTAAATTTGTTATTTATTAAATTTTGGTCTATAATAATTATATTAACCCCCTTCATTCTTTATTTCCTCCGAAACGGATATTTTAAATACAGCATTACAAAATACAAATAAACAGACCTGGGTCCAATTTTTCATATCACCCCCACCCCAATCCCTACTGGTCTAATAATACAGTGACTTAGCTAGGATTCTACAAAGGACAAGGTTCATCTGATGCCAAATTCGGCCCTAGCTGTGTCCAAATTAAATAATATTCCTCAAAGTTCTCTCAGAAAGTATATATTTTCATGAAATTATCAATATATGCATGTACAAAGCTTTATTAATATTTTATATAAACGTAAAAGTAGCATAGTTTACGATAACGTTGCGCTTTTTTGTTGAAGTTGCTGTACGCGACGTCATGAACAAAAATGGAACGTCATGTGTTTTAAAATAAATCTATCTTACATGTATATTTCATTATGTATGTTTATAAAATCCCATTTTCATAAACGTACATTACGATGTATTAGTATACAAGTACATACCATGCTTACTAAATTGTTTTTCATAATTAAAGACAAATCTTTAAATCAATTGGTATGGCTGGTTTTGAAAATTTTGAGTCATAAGGGAAAAAATGTCGTGTACATGTATATAGTACATTCTAAGCGGATTTCTCACTTTCCGCATCCCACGTTGGCACAAGCAAAGTTGGTTTTTTTTTGTTAACTTGACAAATTGCCAAGCTTTGTGAAAGACTTTTAAAGACCGTTAAGGTTTTTCTCAGATTTTGATTCCAGGAGTTAAAGAAAATGATTTTGTGCGTAACTATGTCAGTGTGGCTTGCACGGTTTCGGTCTTTTGCTTATTTGCGTTTTATTTTCAAAGCCAACAGTTTACTTCTCCGCAAGTACTTGACATTGTTTTTCTATGGTTTGATTTACATAAGTTTAACTGTGTCTACCTAATACAATATTTTATTTGCGCTGTCCAGTAGTAGGGTCTATTCTAAAAAAAAAGAATGCATGCAATCCTCCCTTTATTCTTTTGTTACAGCATTTTCAGAAATATTCCAAAATCAAAGTTATCACATTATCACATGAATAATTTATAATTTTTTCCCAAAAGTGCAGCTTTTTCCAACACATGAATATACTAGGTTCTACGGGTTATTGAACAGACAACATGTTTTAACAAAGTTTAATACGTATTAACCTATACACTTCACAATTTCAAGGTTTTGTGATATCGTTTCCTCTTCACAACATTTTGAAAATTTATAGGTTAGATGACCTACAGTCTACTTGGCCTTTTAACGATGTTTTAAAGACTTTTGCGTTTAATTATTAATCCCCATAATAGACAAGGACACGATACGCACAATTTGTAACTTAATGCCTATGAGTAACGAACGAAAAAAAATATCAAAGGTCAGGTCCGTAAAACGCGGGGGCCCACTTTTTTCCGAGTATAGTTTTTTCTATAGGAAATTTTATAGATGCTGCCCCCCCCCCCTCCTTCCCCGACTTTTTGATGTTTTGAGTCGAGCACATGCAAATTCCAGGATTTGGAGAGTAAATAACCCTTTTTTTTTGCTTGTCAGATTATTTTGGAAAGCCCCCCCCCCC